CTGTTATAGCACACAGTGTTTAATATGGTCTTTGAAGTCTCTCGTTCAAGCCCGTGCGGTTTACTCAGTGAACAACTGGTATTGCTAATGCATTTATAATAAGAACCAGTATTTTATGGAGTGCCTACTGGGGTGAGAATGGTAAAATAATAAAGTGGAATACTTATATATACTCGTTGAAATGTGGCAATCAGCTACCTCACTGATTTTACTCTATACAAACTATGAAGTAGTCTTTCTCCAGCATTGCAGTTCACAATAATAATGGCTAACTTAGAGGACCAGAAATATTGTAATCTATTAAAACTTTGCACAGGGAAAGGTACTAGTTATATGTAATTTCTATTATTAAAAAATAAAGGCAAAATTACTTGACAAAATCATTTTGGAGAGGCAGTATCACACTCGGACATAAAGTCTACCAACCTGCATTTTGGTTTCCTGCAGGGATATGCAACTTTGGCATAGACAGACAGGGTGTCATGGAAAGGATGACATTTAATCCACACCTTACATGATGAGTATGATTTTAATAAGCAAAAACACCAGAACTTCACATTTCTACAGCTTATTTATAACCTTAATAGTACAAGTAAGTCATGACAAATAGATTACCCTACTCACTTATTTCCACTGACTCCTCAGCAGAGTGAAACAATCAATTAGTGATTCTGTCATGTGGACATGACATATGATTTGTGTGTCTTTGCCTTTGCTTACCAGCCTTACAACTCTTTTTTCTTTTAAATTCGGGGTCCTTGGAACAATGCTTCTAGAATGTTGTGTTGTAAGAAGCAAGGCCCACTGACTGGATCCCCACAACATGGCTTTACCTAGGCTTGGATTAAGAGGTGACAGTTTTCCCTCTTCCAGACAGTGACATGGTGAGCAATACTGAAAATCAAGAAATGAGCTCCAGAAAAACTCAGCAGAATCCCATTGTAAATCCCTTTGTGTGTGCTCCTGTGTACAGCTGTTTAAAGTTCAAGGGGATAACAAGAGCCTCAAGAGCCCTTTCAACTGCCTCTTTAATCTGTGTGCATTCTAATTCTGCTTTTCCAAGAGATTTCATCTGGAAAAGCCTACCCGAGGCAAAGGACATGCTAGCCAAAATGTCACGAAGGTATTACAGAATCAACCTAGGCAGATGAAGGACTTAAGACACATTTGACTGGACCTTTTTTTTCAGGCCTTCAAAAATAGTTCTGTCATAACGTCTGGTCTTTGAAGAAAGTCCTGGGAAATGGCAAAGCTGAGCACGTATACCAGGAAGTGATTGCTCTTGGGAATCCTTGAGTTCTTTGATGTGAATCTTCAAATGAAAAGAGCTTTTGACATCATCCATGAACATGCCCCCATCGATGGGAACTGAATCTTACTTCTTACCTAAGGGAGCTGGTACCAGGAAAGAGGCTCTGACATCAAGTGGGTTTCAAAAGGTGCTGACATTTCCTGGTGAATAGTTAATCACTCAACCTTCAAAAGGTTGAACTGGGATGTTATCTTTAAAGAGAAGCCAAATAATATGCAAATGAGGACACTTTCTCTTGAACTTACTACACTGGAGTTTTATGAATCACGTCACTAATTAAAACAAAAAGTGTGCCAAAGTCTTGGTTGTTTTCTTTTTTCTGCCATATTTTTTTTCCTTTCTGAGTAAATAGTGTGACATTCTCTATTGCACATTTGATTTTAATGGTTTGGCTCCAAAAAGGGTATTTTTTTTATAGAAATATTCAAAGCCTGATCATTTCTCCAATATCTTCTCTCAATCCCCTAATACTGATATCATTTTCTTTTTCTACAGCTACCTTAAAAAACAACTTGGTTGAGATATAACTTTTATATCACATAGTCGATTCACCAAAAATTCAGTGGCTTTTTACTACATTCTACTATTTGTACATACTACTTTTGTAATTATTTCCACAGTGAATTCTAGAATATTTATCATCTCCAGTATCAGTCTTTTCCATTAGATGTTACTTCGCAATTCTTTTTCTCACTTCCACCCCAAACTTAGGCATGACTAATCTGTCTTCTGTCTCTTGAGATATGTCTTTGTTCAGGACATATTGTGTATTTAGAATTTTCTGACTGCCTTTCTTCACTTAGGGTCATATCTTGAAAATTCAACCATTGTCTTGGAAGGCTTGGTGACATGGTGAGCAATACTGAAAATCAAGAAATGAGTAAACAGGCTGTGGCAAATTAAATAATTAGTTAATTATTGTGAAGAATGGGATCACTTTTACAGAAAGAGTAATAGGGTTAAGGCCATCACTATACAGAGCATTGTTAGTTTCTGAGCCTTCACTTCAGTGACTCATTCATGGATTCTTCCCAGGAATTCTAAAGGGATAACACACAAGCTAGGATGCTTGTATTATAAACACAAGACAGAAAACATGGCAAATGTAGTAAACTATAGTAGCTGGATTTCCTACAGGATAGGAGCCCTGGGAAGGTGGTTATGCAGAAGCTCCATATGGTCCAGGCTTCTGGGTATATTTCACTAGACTCCTGTGGCTTTTCCCTCATGGCTACAAGATGGCTGCAGTGACTTTACTTCAAGGCTCTCACTTGGCTCTCTTAAAGCAGAAAGATGAAAAAAGGACACCTCATGGCAATGTTTCTCTTTTCTTATTAGAGAAGTAAAATTTCCCCATAATCTTCCTTATTGACTTCCTCTTAGGCTATGGTGCACACAGAAGAGTTATATTCCTCTTCTTAACGATGAGAGAAGTTGGGAAGACCAGTGTCTGGCATGTTCTGGCTCTCTACTGCGTGGAGCACACAGATTGCTCAAAAGCAGTATGAATGTAGAATGCTAAGTCACCATTCTACCCTGTCTGCTGTAGTTAGCAATGGAGACTTCTGGTTTAGGCAGGGGAATTCTAAAGCTCAAAGACGATCCATAACACCACACAGCTAACTGTAGTGGATGGATGTGTGGAAGTCAGAATTCTGAAGTCTATGTTCCCACACAGTCTCAGAGGTGATGTGCTGTTCTGAGAAACATACTCCCTCCTACAGGTGAAGAATTATCTCACACTATTACAAGTAAAAGAGAAGTTCATGGCTAAAATTTGTTTTCTAGTAAGGTTATTTATTTGCCAGGAAATAGGTTGTGGAGGCATTTGGATGCTTATTTTGACACACATACACACTCAATAAAAAGGAGTATCTGAAAATCCAGTCAATGTTGCTCATATGCACATATGCTTAGGGCTGATTACTTGGAACTGAATAACCTACCAGGGAGTTTGTTCCTAGAGAAAACTGGTCCTTCCTTGACTTCAAACCTCCATTCTTATTCATGTTGCATCCCCACTGCATCACAATTCTGTTCAAGCCTTATGTCTGACATTCCAAGATGAACAGAGGTGGCCAGGACTAGATCTCTGGTTGGAGAGGAAAATCTTGATGTAAATATTTTGATCATGGATGAACTTTGCTTCTGATCCTATTAAAGGGGGCTTATTATTTCTAGGAGTAAAGTTGACTCCAGAAATATCTTTGTGTGTTCTAGGGGAACATTTCCAACTGAAAACATGTAGGTGCTACTGGCTGTTATAGGGAGGGGTACTGTGTGTAACCAGAGCAGTAGGAATCCCAAGAAAAAATGCTATTTTGTTTGGAAATGACTGTAGCCTTATGGGGAGCTCTTCTTACAGAAACACATATGTGAGCTACCTTCAGATCACTCCTGTGTGCCTGCTTCCACAGTCTAGAGCACCCTAATTGTGCCTGCAGAAGTGGGGCTGCTATGTAAAGATGTGAGTCTGACATGTGATAAGTGGTCAAGAGCCTACAGTTCAGGGCAGAGTGGCATTTGAGGGCCAGAGGCATTTACAGAGCTTCCTGGCACCGTTTACAAAAGAGGTGGCCTTTCTGATCTCTGGTTCATGAGAACTGTATGTTTTTTCCGAAGAAGCCATTTACCTTAAGACTTTCTCGGCTTTGTGCCTTGCTTTATGTGATATTTAGCTCCAGATCCTGCTCTAAAGACACCTAAAGTTAAATATTTGTTTTTGTGGTTTTGTTGTTATTTTGACAACATGATCTTCCTCCCTTGGGAATCCTGTGCTGTTGGGATATAGGGCTTTTAAGTGAGCTTGGCTCACATCTGGATTCCCTGTGTTGCTAGGGTATGGGGCTTTGAAGTCAGGTAGGCCCACATCTGGAGGCTCTGTGTGCTGTGTTTAAATTATAATATATTAATTAATTTACCTTCTTTTCTAAAACTCAGTTTCCTTCCAATAAAGGTGTTAATGTGAGATAGTATATTCAAGTTGGAACAGTTCTACCTTGTTGCTTCCTCACCTCATCCTACTTCCCAAGAGCTCCATAATTAAAACCATTTCTTTATAAAATTGCTGGCAAACCCAGTTGTAACCAACCATGCCAAACTCTGAAGAACTAAGAAGGCTTGAAGGTTTCTAGTCCCTCAGATCCCTCTCCCTGACTTAGTGTCTCTAAAGGTGGGATTGTGAAAATCCTGAAGCCAATGAACGTTGGAAGAACAATGGGGACTCCTTAAGTAACAGAGAGACCAGCATTTGCCACTGAAGAATACTAAGAAAGATGAAGAAAAAAAGTACATTATTTGAAAACTCTGAAAGAACGAGGTGAATTTGAAGTGTCCTTCAAACACTAGCTGCACAGAATGCCTTTTGTTTCTTGTGTGATTTCTGCTGCAGCTCAGACGTTATTAGGGACTGATAACTGTGACTAAGGAGGTGTGCATGCCATGGGAGCTGAGTAAATAGCAACAAATTCTTGCTTCCTTAGAGTTCAGAATTCCAGATTTGTTACTTACGAAAACAATTTGTATCTAAAAAGATTCTGGTGTTCTGGGGACCTGGGTGGGGGAAAATTTCATAGACGAGAAACTGTTAAATGTAAGCTGTTTATCAAACAGTTTAATTTACCAGGGAGACAGAAGAGAGCAAACCAATATGATAAAGTTCTTCTGTTCAGCTTTGTAACAGATAACATAAAATATTTACCTTGAAAAATTGTTAACTGGGTCCATAATTCACATAAAATTATGTTACCTTTCTGGAGATGCCATGCGAGCACTTAATTTGGTCCCCCATTTGGAAATCGCTCATTTTATAAACTTCATGATTCATTTCTCAATATCTTTATGAAGTGAAGTAGGTAGAGTCCATGGGCTTGATGTGATTGGATAGTTAGGGAAAAAGGTCAAGGGCATGATCTTTGGGCTTTTTCACAGTTGAGTCCCTGGAAACATGAGTTCTGTCAGACAGTTCATGTGACTGCGGTGCATGTAAGGAAGTGGCATGGTGAGAAGTTGAAACTGAATGTAACTGAACAGAGAATGAAGTAGTCCTCACAATAAGTTCCTTGTAGTCTTCCAAATTGAGGCAGAGAATTGGGATCCACAAGCTTTCTACATGGGACATAACCTGGAGCAAAGGAAAATAATGGGAGAGGATAGTTGTGAGTTCACAGTAGCTAATACTTTGGCAGTCTTCTCCAATGTATGGCTTGGGGACCATGCTGATTAGGGTGGGAATCTGGTGGGCCCATGGTTTAGTAGATGTCAAAATCTGTCTAGTATTTAAATCTGAGATTGTTTCCTGGATTTTGATGCTTCTGTGAATTTAACTAACTTCACTAGCTTGTAGGTGAAGCTCAATAAATATCATATGATGGTTCATGAAAATTATTACTTAAGAACTTTCTTCTGAGTGTATATGATATTTCTAAGTGTCTGTCTGACTTCTAATCCCTGGAAGTGGTACAGTTTCTTCCAATTCCACTCTTCTGTACTTGACTCTGATCTATACCAACCTCAGCCTGCGGGGAGTGTGAAGCCGATTCCTGTGGAGAAATCACCACAGGAGCAGGAAGAGAAGAGAATAAATACTTTATAGGAGGAGACCTTGAAGTGAGCTTTCTACTTGGACTTTGCAGTAAAATGAAAGGAATCAATTATTTTTTTGATTAAACAGTTTTTTTAATTTAAATTTTTTACATTTATTTATTTGTGTGTATGTGTGTGTGTGTGTGTGTGTGTGTGTGTGTGTGTGTGTGTGTGTGTGTTTGCATGCATACTGCCCTGCATGTGATGGTCAGAGAATAACTTGGGAGAATTCAGCTTTATACTTCTACCCTGTGAATTCTGGAAAATTAAACTAAGGTGACAAGCTTGGTGGCAAATGCCCTTACCCACTGAGCCATCTTGCCAATCCTTAGGCAAGTTTTAATTGGATTTCTGTGACAGCGTTTTGTTTATTTATTTTTAAGTTTGTCTTCTTCCCTAAATGAAAAGGATCTCTTTTGGCTTGCCTAATTGTTGAGAAGTTCTTTGCAACACTCTGTTCAGTGTGACACCCCATAAAGTAAACCAGGGAAGCAGTAGAGTTGCCAGATTCGGCGTGTTCACGTTGCCTGACACTGTAAGCTTGAGATAGCGAGAAGCCTGGGAGCTGACACCTAGAGTCACTTCTTGTCTCTCTCAAGGCTTTAGGCACATGGGCTAAGAGTCTAAGGTGGACCATGCATGACTTTGGCCCCTGCTAAGAACTGACTATGCAAATTTTTTTTTTTGGGAAAAAATGAAGCCAGGGATGATGATGTACTGCTTTGGGAAACCAAAATATTCAATATCCTCCAAAGCTTAAAGAAGTATTTTGGAACGTTTTTGCATGTTAATAATCATCTAATGATGAATGCATTTTAATTACTCAAATAAAACATAAGTGAGACTACTTCTTGACAAATATCTTGGAAGCTGCTAGTTTATACATATTTATGAAAGTGTTAAGACAAAGTTGTTTCAGAAGCCTGTGTATAATGTATTTAGAAATTAATTAGTTAAGGCAGGAAGTTTCTTTGTTCCAGCTTGTTCCATAAGGCTAAGTTTTACTCCTCACAACATAATAAACCCTTGATTTTGGTTTCCTAGGGACAGAAATAATATGTACTTAGCTTACTCAGAGAATCACAAGAATCAACAAACTCCCTTCTCCTCTGAGTTCGTATACAGACTGCTTGTGCTGTATTTAGCATATGCTTTCTTGTATTTTAATTTTGTTTTTTATTTGAATGGTAGAGATGAGGAAATGAAAAATAGATGCAAAGTTTAAAAGGAGTCCTTTCTACAAAGTTTTTACCTCTTATTTTTCATTTGTGTATATTTTCTGTATTTCTTTTTTTGCTGATATTGGTTTGGATTTTTAGTGTGTGTGTGTGTGTGTGTGTGTGTGTGTGTGTGTGTATGCGTATAACTTGCAGTGTACTGCATTCCTAGATGTAGAGCAGACACTACCCAGTGAGCCATCACTCCTCCTCTGGGTGATGATATTTTAATGTTAGCTAATTGCAATGCTCTACAAATTAATCTTCCCAATCTGATTTTGGTTTGGTTTGTATAGGAAATGACTCTCGTAGACTGATGGGTTTACTGCTTCGTCCCCAGGTGAGGATGCTATCTTAGGATTTTGAAAGGTAAGGCCCTGTTGGGAGAAATAGATCACTGATGTTGGTGGTTGCTTTTATTTTTCACTCTTTTGGTCTTTGTTCCTTGCTCTTTTGGGGACCCACCACCCAGCTCCCAAATAATCACACACAGAAACTTAATTCTTACTCATAAATTCCTGGCCTCAGCTTGGCTTGTTTCTTGCCAGCTTTTCTTAACTTAAATTATCCCATCTACCTTTTGCCTCTGGGCTTTCACCTTTTTCTATTTCTATATACTTTTCTTTACTTCTTACTCCATGGCTGGCTGTGCAGCTGGGTGGCTGTGTGGCTGGCCGCCAGTATCCTCCTCTCCTTGTTCTCTTCTTGCTCCTTCCTCTTTCCTCTCAGATTTCTCCTATTTATTCTCTCTCCCTGCCATCCCTGCCTATCCTTTCTCCTGCCTCACTATTGGCCACTCAGCTCTTTATTTGACCAGTCAAGTATTTTAGACAGACACAGTAACACAGCTTCACAGAGCTAAACAAATGCAACATAAACAAAAGCAACACATCTTTGCATCATTAAACAAATGTTCCACAGCATAAGCAAGTGTAACACATAATATTTTACAACAACTGGGAATATGATTTTGAAGGGTATACCTGGTGTCTTGTCCCATCATCACTCCTGATTCCTTTCCATCATGTGCTAAACATGCATCCTTCCACCGCATTCCTGCATCCATGATACCCTGTCTCACTAACAGGGCATAGCAATATAAGAAGCCACCTTCAGTTGGAAACCTCCGAAATCCTGAGCCCAACTACATCTTTCCTGTTTTCACACTGTTCTCTCAGGTATCTTGGTGATGGGAAGGTTGTCAGTATTTGTCGCTTTCTCATCACCAAATAGAATCCACTTTCTCTACCTCATCTCTGTGTCTCTTGCACAATTCCTTTGCATTCTCACACCTGAAATGCTTGAAGAGGACAAAAAAGTTATCCAGTGGCACTTGGAATCAAGGACTGATGAAGGATGTGAGTAACAAATATTCTCAAGTAATCTTGTGCCCTTTTAGACTGGAACTTGGTCTTGCTGTAAAGTTAATTCAAAAGAAAATCCACATGCAAAAAAGGAAATAATAAGATAATAATGTCCATTTTTCTCATTCAGTAAATATCTGTTATCCCCCAAATACTTGAGCATTTTACAGCTTGAAAATTAACGCCATGGATATATTCAGAATTTGAGGTAGACTTTAGAAAGACACCAGAAAAATCTTGTCAAGGGTAATAAAGGGGCCTGAGAACTGTTCAAGAGACAAAAAGTTTGGGGACATGACCCTTTTTGAACAAGTAGGCTTCAACTCTTTTCTGTTCTTTTTTTTTTTACTTTTATTTCCTATTTTTATCTCCCTTTTTAAAGCTAATGATTTCAGTTTTCTCTAAACACATTAAAAGAACAAATTTTCCCTGAAGGTCTATGAGAATTAACTAATCATTACTAGTCATTTTTCAATGGTAACAGATGGAAGCATAAATTGTTAGCACTTAAATTAATGAACCCCTTGAGCCTTGAGAACTACAGAATCTTGGACCTAAGAATGGTCTTAGAATAAAAGATAATATGGACTATCAGTATGTTTTCATTTACCTCTTTGTGAACTCTGGTGAATGACTGTTTTACACGTGCCTAGGGAAGCTGACCATGAAGGGAATAATAATAATTCTGTAAAGATGGTTGGATCCTGATAACAAATAGTTCACACACTGATAGCTCAGCTTTTAAAAAGCAGCTTTGTTAACATGTTAGATTTTTTTCCCCCTCAACTTCCCTCTTAACTTTAAATGTATGGTGGAGATGAATGGCAATGGGACAATTGGTGCCTTTTAGTAGAATTAACCTGAAAGCCTTGAGGAAATCATTATTGGTTTGGCCAAAGGATAAGAGTGATGAACTCTACATCTGGGAGACTCTATACCTTGATTCTTCTCCTTGCTGTGTCATAATTCAACTGTCTAAACACAGCCTAATCATATAAATATGTTGATTCTATAAGGAAAGAATAGAATATGGTCCCTTTGGTCTTTTGGAAATGTAAAGTAAACCATTGTCTATGAGAATATGGATTTCAAAATAAGCACTGTAACCATATAAACATTGAGTGTTAGATTCAGATTTGAGGATAAAACTGAACTGTCATAGGGCTGATTGAGTGGTGAGGTGAGCTTGCAGGGAGTTGTGAATAGTATAGCAAAGAGGCATAAGGATCTTCCTGCCTACACATCTCTTAAAATTCTTGAAAGTGCCTTTGCGTTTTCTAGAGTCTACAGGCCTTTGTATTGTCACTCCAGTGAAACCATGAGTGGTCTCTCGCTAAAAGTGGCCATTAGTCTATTCTCAATTTTTAACCCTTTGTGTGAGAACGCGCGCGCGCACGAGCACACACACACACACACACACACACACACACACACACACACACACTTGCTTTTTTTTTTAAGCTTTTATGCATTTTTCTCTATGTTCTTCTCTAATATAAATCTGGGAAGGTGATAAATGTAGCTGGTTGTATCCTTAAAACTCAATTTCCTAAGCTGAGATCAGTGGGAATGTTAGTGATGTTATAACAAATGAGAGCTAGATAGACACAAAGTTAAATACATATGTGAAACAAGAAGAGAATGTAGAGTTCAGTGTTTCTTACACAGAACATCTGTTTTCACTTGGTAACTCCTTTAGGATTAGTGTTTCTTTGGACCTAAAATGCCTCAAATGGAAATATTAAAAGCAAGACAGCCATTCATCCTTTTTCTTTTTTTTTAAATTTGTTGAGATTTTTTTTTACAATGTATTTAATCCTATTCAATCTTATTCTTTCACTTTCTTAGATCTCTTCTCTTTCTTATCCAGCACACTTTATGTCCACCTCTTTTTTTGGGTAAATGTATCGAATTTTTAAATCACAGGAATTATGAATTATTTCATGGGTGCTTTAGAATATTGTGTATTTAGCATAATGATGTCTGTGATGGCTTGTCTTCACTGCACTGTCAACTTGACCCAGTTTAGAATCACCTAGGAGACATACCTCTGGGTCTGTCTATAGGCAGAAGTTTCTATACTGTCTGCCAGTTCCCAAATAACCAACAAAGACACTTAATGTTAATTATAAATGCTCAGTCAATAGCTCAGGCTTATTACTAACTAGCTCTTTCATTTTAAGTTAACCCATATTCCTTATTTACACTCTGCCACGTAACAGTACTTTTGTTAACATGGCATGTTCATCTCCTGCTCCCTCTGCATCTGGCTGGCAACTCCCAACTCTGCCCTTCTCCCTCCCAGCATCCTTAGTTTGGTTGCCCTGTCTATACTTCCTGCCTAACCTTATTCTCTTCAGCTATTGGCCAGTCAGCTTCTTTCTCTCTTTCTTTCTTTCTTTCTTTCTTTCTTTCTTTCTTTCTTTCTTTCTTTCTTTCTTTCTTTCTTTCTTTCTTTCTTTCTCT